CAACCCAAACCATTCTAAGATTCTATGAAAGCACATAAAACTCTGCCCTCCAAACTCTCCCTGCCTCCCCAAAGCCGAGGTTACCCTGGCATGGGCACGGAGGGGCTCACTCAGCACCACAGGCAGAATGATGGTGGAACATCCAGCACTCACAGGAGGAGCAAAGGATCCCCCAGGACACCCCAGGCTGCAGAGGTCCACGGCCCTCTGAGCTCTGCCGTGCTAATTGATGTTTACTGGGTGATTATGTGTTATTATTCCTACCTGGGGAATGGGGAGGTTCCCAGCCAGCCTGGATGCTGCTCTCTCACATTTAAAACCGGAATGAAAATCATCCCCCTGTGGCAGAATTAACCACGAAAGCAGCTCCGGCTGAGCCGAGAGCAGCAGCGTTTCTGAGGCAATGAAATGTGCAGGGCTTTTGGAGGGTGTTTATGGGAGATGAATTTTGCATTTACAACATCCTGGCCGGGTCCTTGCTTAGGAAGGTGCTGCTTCACCCATCAGGGAGCAGAACCACTTGGCACGACCTCGGCGCTTCATCAAGGCGTTCGACGTGATTAGCACAAACAAGTGATAGATCATCAGCTGAAAAAAGAAGTGCTGGAAAATCAGGAAGGAAAAGTATGTCTTGGTGCAGCGTGTTTTCAGGTGGGGAAGAGGCAATGAAAGGAGAGGGAGCTCCTGTGCACCTCCTAGCACCCACTGCTGCCTCCTGCACCTGCAGGAAGCCCCTGATTCAGGATCAGGGCTTACAGGGAAGGGAAGAGACCCTTCTGGGCTGTGTTTCTCTCCACTAGCACAAGGATGTTCCTCCCAACGAGCCCTGTGAGTATTTTGATCATGCTGCTTTTTAGTTTCCATGTGTATAGCCCTTGATCAGGTGGTGAAACCTTTCGGAGCTGGCAATGCCTGCCCTGGGTTTGATGGAGCTCTGCTCGCTCCCAGCTTTTAAAAACAGCCAGATTTGTCCTTCTATGAAGAGCTGCAGAAATCTTCAGCCCCAATTCTGCTGATGCTTATGCAATCTCAGCGCTGAAGGATGCCCACCACCCCTCACAGGGCGAGCTTGGACGGCCGGGGGTGTAAGTGGGAGCCAAGTCAAACCTGCTGCACGTGGAACCAGCCCTGCAATGGCCTGAACTTGCACAGGCAGCACATCCAGCGAGGAAAAGGGGTTGTTGCAGCCTTGGAGTCATAAAATCACTCTCGGCCTGCAGGGCTGATTTAATTGAAATGCACTGAGCTTTTCATACATTAAAAAAACCAACCGTCTCCCTGACACCCAGACAATTAATGCTTCAGGACTGAATTATAAAGCCACTTTTCCTCGACATAACCAGCACTTTTCCTGTAAGACTCAGTCTTTCCCTGGGAAAGCAGAGATTCTCTGCACATGCAGGGGTTGCTGGTGTGGGCTCTGCGACAGGCTCAGTATTGAAATGGGAAGTTTTTAAACAAGGGGGCTCTTGGTGGTCCCACATTTGTCACTGCATTGTCCCCACCTGCCGTTTGATCGCTGGGGGCCAGCCCTGGTTGCACCCTCACATCCCACCAGCAAAGCAGCCAAAAGCCTGTCATGACAGCAATGTGACCGATTCCACTTCAATATTTTATTTTGTGTTTGGTTTTTCTTTTTTTTTTTCTCCTAGTAGAAACTGTTAATTGAATTTGTCTGTCCATGAAAAACACGAGGCAGCTCACGCTGGGCAGCAGCTGAGAAGAGCCACGGTGCAGTTCCCCTCACCAAGGTCCCTCCAACACCAACCCACCCCAGCACCCAGGGCTAATTTGGGGGCAGGACATGGTGTAACTCTGCCAGCACCCAACAGATCCACTGCTAGTCCACCCTGGAACCCCACATACTCCACTACTGCAACACATCTCAGCCTCCAGCTCCACCCAAGCCTTGCTCAGCTTGTGGGCAGAAATGGTGTTTGTTTGCTACAGCAACGCTGAGAAATGAATTGCTGCTTTAAATAGGGTCAGGACCGTTTCTCTTTCCCCCCTAAGAGCTATTTGAAACCAGGTGCTGCAGGAAGAAAGCCTGAAACAGCTCCTAATAACCACCCCTAAATCGTGTGCCTAAAGAACCCCAAGCGCCTTGGAAGCAAAGTTTCTTTATCCTTCTCTCCCCCGGATTGGGCTGTGCAACTGTTGCTTCTGTGCTTTGTGGGAGTGAAATCAAATGTCAAATATTCTGCTTTGGAAGAAGTTGGCAACGAAACACGAAAGGCTCATGGAGAGCTCGAAAAGGAGTGCAGAAAAATTGGAGCAAAGCACAGACAGGGCTGGGACAGGAGCCAGGGGAGCGGGGAAGGACTGTGCCTACAACCACAACTCCAGATTTTAGGATGAAGTGACTACTTTCCCTAATGCATTTCAGCAGAAAGCTGATCCTAGCTGCTGCTAGCACAGAAGGAGGATGGGCTCCACGCCGAGATGTTACATCTCTTTGTTGGGAAGCATCCACACATCTCTGTTTATTCAGCACAATCCCAGCCCTACACCGAGCCCCGCGTCTCATCGCTGGGCTGTGCCCAAAGCCACGGCCAGGAGGGCTCAGGACCTGCTCCCCACCACTACTGGGGAGCACATTTCTTACCTTAATTCCACAAAAAAAACCCACAAAACCCAGCCCATTTTTTGAAAGGCATGTTTTGACACAGGCATGTGTCCTGTTCCTTTCTCAGCACAGATTTAAAAGCACAGGCTCTGGACAATCCTCCCCCAGCACGTTCACGGGGAAGAACAGCTGCTCTCTCTGTCATTTTAACTGTGGCAGAATTTCGTTTTGTTCCAAATTTCAAGACTCCAGAAGACATTTTTTTGCTGTGTATTCTCAGTGTTTCTGAAAGGCACTTCTCACCATTTACAGCCTCAGCCCTCTGAAGGTGCTGGACCTTCCTCCTCCTCTTGGTGCTGACCCCTTTTCAATCATCAGCCTCCTTTATAGAGCTCTCAGGGTAAAATATATTCTCCCCTCCACTTTGCTGAACTATCACATTGCCAGGATGAGGGCACTGGGGTCACAGGAGCTGACAAAATCCATATGCAGTGGTATGCTGGGACTTCTGGACCCAAGGCACACACATCTCTACAAGGGCAAAAGGCAAATCCTACGGCAATTCCTGCAAGGAATGAGACACAACACCCCCCAGATGCTGGAGGCTCCCCAAGGCAAGTGCTTTGCCAGAGCCATGGCTGAAAATGGAATTAACGTCCCAGGAATATTCTATTATTTGCTAATTCTCTTCACATCTTTTTGTTTCACAATTAAGCAAATTAGCGCTTTGATGAATATTAAGGCGCTCTCGCCTCATAACAGATGAGTTGGAGGCATTCCCACTGGATTCTCCTCCAAATGAAAGCAGTTCCTCAACTGTTTGAGATACACACTGGACTGTTTCCTCCCTGACGAGAGCACGAGGAGCACGTGGCTCCTGCAGGAAATGGCCAGGCACTAACATTTTAATAAAATAATTCCATTGCAAAGTTTGCCTAGATCCTCATTATTACCATCCAATCCCGGTCCAGGCTGGAATGGGATCCTAAATTTGAGGCTGTTCATGGCACTGTCTATCCCTGAGTTGCTACAACAAGCATACAAAGCCTCCTTCAACCACAGGGATTCATTCACTCGAGTCTCTTAGCAGGGAGAGGACTTTGCACTCTTCTAAAAGCATTTATTCCCTGGTTATAAATGACTTAATAACCAAGCGATTTTTTTTTTTGTTTTCCTACAGTTTTGCTGGCTTTGGGAGGAGCTGGAAGCTCCCAGTGCAAGGTGAGCTGGTGAGACAGCTGCTCCCTCTCTACCTCCACCAGCACATCCCTGATCCCTTCACACTGATACCTCCCTGGAGCATCTCTCAGAGCAGCTGGGAGGGAGGGCAGGTATTTGTTTACCAGCAGATGTGGAAAGCTGGGAGTGACCAGGGGGTTAACTCACCACAGAACAATTTAACAGCATCCAGACACCTTCAGGTACAACCCTGCCCCTCTCTCCACCACCCACAAGGCACCAGCTCCATTAATCTGAATTACACAGTCCTCAGTAACAGCCAATAAAATTCTCAGCAGAGCCAGTGAACCCAGAAATCTGCTTTAACAGTGGGGACTTCATGTGGTTTTGTGTCTCAGAGAAGAACAGAAGGTCCCAGATTATTTACATCGGGCTGGCTCCCCTAAGCAACAGACTCCCGTGGACTGTCAGCCATCAATTCCCATCCTAATCATTTTGGTTGTGCTTTTTCTGTCCGGGGTGGGCACCACCCTCGGGGCAGCAGCAGAACTGGCACAGTGAAGGATGGCACAGAGCAGATTCGGTGTTAATGGGGCTTGGTCCCCCCTCTGTGCAGGAGAATAACTCACTACAACCTCTTCAAATATACTGATAAATAAATAAATAAAATGAATAGATAAATAAAGCCATCATAAATTCACTTGTTTCAGGAAGAATTTGGTCATGGAAAGGGTGGTCAGGCATTGGAAGGAAGGGGCTGCCCAGGGAGGTGGTGGAGTCCCCATCCCTGGAGGTGTCCAAGAAACAACCAGACGTGACACTCAGTGCTCTGGGCTGGGTTTCAAGGTGGGGATCAGTTGGACTTGATAATCTGGGAGATCTTTTCCAACTTCAATGGTTCTGTGATAGAGGATGCTCAGACAAAGCCATGCAAACCCCCAGCCTGCCAGCCTGGCTGCACGAGTCTGGAATGCCTGTGGCTCAGGATTTAGGCAGGGATGGCTCAGAGCCCCAAATCACCTCTGAGCAGCTCAGCTCAGTTCCCAGCCCTTCCAGCCAAGAGCAGGCAGGTACAACTCTCTCCCCTGAGCACTGACAACCATCTCTGGGCAGAGGCAGATAAATCTGAGCTCTGATGCTCCATCCACACCAACCCCGGCAGCACGGGGCTGGACACCTCAGTTCCATGTGCTCCAACAACACATTCCTCATGGGAGGAAGCCACAAGCAAGGAGATCTGGAAGCAGAGCCTCACCTGTCGCTCTGACATGACGTACAGGTACTTCTGGTCGATGGAGAAGGCCATGTCTCGAAGGACTGGGCTCCCGTCCTTGAAAACTGTCACCACTTCATACTGAATTCCACCATGGGGAGGACCATCTGCTCGGATCTGGAAGGAGCACAAACAGATTAGAGGTGACTTCACAGCAGCCAAATTCCGGTTTTATTTTGGGGGATGGCAGGGGGGATGGAGAGAAGGAGGAGGAGGAGGAGGAGGTAGGAAAAGGAATCTAATTCAAAATTTCAGCTCGCAACCTGGAGAGAGAGCAAAGAGCCAGCAGGCAGAGCGTGGGTGCAGGACTTAGAGCAAAGGTTCCTTCTCCACTGAAGTTGGTGGGATTTTCCCAATCTATGAGAAATAGTGAGAAAGTTTTGTGGTTGCAGTTTGTGCAGTCTGTGTTCCAGTTTTGTGCCAGTGTGCTGTGACTGATCACTGGCACCCAGGAGCAACAAAGGCTGCAATAAACTTCTTTAGATTCTCTCTAAAATAAGCCTGAAAGAAAACCACAAGACTCTACAGGCAACAACAAAGCCAAGATACTGCAGAGATGTTGTTTTTTTAATTCTCTAGACACCTACAGAATGACACTCAGACAATCTCCATCACCTCTTGGTGCCACAGAGGCCTAAAAAACTTGGTGCCTAAAAACTTGGAGAGGCTGCTGCCACTTTCATACTTGCAGGACTCAGTGAGATGAACCCAGCAGAGCCAGCAGAGAACTCACAGAGCACCACATGGCCTGTTCAGCTTGACAGGCTCCAAGCATCCATCCATCCCTCCAAACCACAACTCCCTGCTCCTGCAGGAAAACCTGCCCAGGCTGTGACAAACCCCGTCCCTGCCAGCGGCCGCCGCCGAGGAACGTGCCATCTCTTCCCAAAGTTAATAATTTATGGCCTCGGGGGCTGCTCGAGGGGAAAGGGAGGAGGATAAACAAACTATTTACATTGTCTTTCCCACCAGGATTTGCATATTTGGAGAGCCTTTTGATTGCAACGCGGTGTCTGCAGAGCTCGGAGCTCTGGCAGCCGCCAGCTGAGAGCGGCCGGGCGAGCCAAGGGCTCGCAGCGACAGCGATGCCGGGAGAGGGGGGCCGGGAACACTCCCGTGGAGGAGAGGGAATACAGGGGGCTGACGGCCCTGGAAAAACCTCTTATCACAAAGATGCCATCTGCTCTCCAGCCTCATGCCGGGCTGCCTTGCTGCATCCCGTTTTTCTGCTCAGTTCCCGGCTGCGGCAGGGAGGAAAAGGCAGGGAGAACCTGGAGTGTGAACCTTCAGAAGGGGCAGAGTGGAGCAGCAGAGAGGGTCTTTTTTCCCCCCTGGTTTGTGTCCCCAGGAGGTAGGACAGCAGGTTGTTAAGCATCTGAAGATTTATCTGAGAAATGTGCCACCCCAGCTGGAAATACAGGGATATCGTCACACTCAGAGAGGAGAGATGCTCCCCCTGCACCCTCCTCCAAATAAATCCTCTTCTTGGAAAGAGCCCTGGTGCTCCCTGCCTTGTGGAGACATGTTGGGTACACGAATGCATTTATTTTCTGGATTTCTCTCTTTTTCTCCTTACCTTTGGTGTTTTTAGTGCTATAAAAGGACATCAGGTGGGAATGTGAATGGTCTGGTCGAACACCCACAGTCAGGCACAGGGAGCCTCTGGCAGGATTAAGCCACCAGCCCAAACCTGCCTCAAAAGCCCTGAATTTTCAGAAAAACAAAATCCTCCAGAAAGGCAGAAGGTCAAATCCTGCTTTAATTCCACCTGTGAGAATCAGGATCTTCACGAAATCCTGAGAACCAGGGGCAGGTTCACACCAGTACGAGACCAGGGTTGCAACCCGAGTCACCCACGGAGCCACCAGCCTGCACCACGGACACAGGGACAGGGCTGCAAAATCACCTGAGGAATAAACAGCAGGAAGGCTGGGCTGTCAGGGATACACAGCCACTTCCATGTGAACACCTGATTAATGGCCAAACGGGAATGGAAGTGCCGGACATGAAGGATCAGCAGCCTTTGTGAAAAACAACTGTTTTTCAGAGTTCCCTCAGGGCATGGGCAGCTCGTTAAATTGAGCTCCTTTCTAGTAATGAGGTCAGACAGGGCTAATAAAGAGAGATACCACTGGACAAGCCTTGTGCAGGGCAATTCCAACTGGGAATTGTGGCTCTGGGCTGGAGGCAGCAGCACCACGTGACTGATGGCTCCCCCAGCCCGGACAAGTGCTTGGAGCTGTGCCTGGCACGGGTGTCCTGGGACACAGCTGGAGCCCTGCTCAGGGTGCTGGGTGCTGCCTGCACCCTCCTGCCCCTCCACAGGGTCCTGGGGTCTCTCGTGGAGGCTGCTGAGGTGAGGTATCTCAGAGCCCAGGGCGAGGGCAGGGCAGAGCCCGCTGCCCCCCTGCCCCGCACGCCGTGGTGGGTGTTAAACCCCCTGGGTGCCCCCCAGCCCCCTGCCCACAGCACCGTGCTGAGAGGCACCCACCGACACCAGGATGCTCCACTGCATCTCTTCCTCAGGGTTTGGTTTCCATGACAACAAATGATGATGTCAGAGAAGAGCGATGATTCCTGCGACGGCGGAAGAAGAAAGGGATCATCCCCCCAGCAGGAAGCTGCTGCTTGACGTTTGGAGAGAGAAATAATTCCTCTGCCTAACATCTGGGTGCTCTCCTGGGGCCAAACAACTCCTGACCCATCACCAGAAGAGCGACGTGGTGCCAACCCTGCAAGTCTGGGCTCAACCCAAGCCCAGGTCCTGGCACAGCGATGCAGGAGAGGGACAGGGCTGGGCTGTGGTGGTCCTGGTTCATGACATCCCCCTAAATCTACTTGCCTGTCTTCTCTCACAACACAGTGATGGGAACAGGAAGGGTTTAGGAGAGAGACAGAGGGAAGCAGAGCAGGTTGGAATGGGTGGGAGCACAGTGAAACAGGGAACAGGCGGGTTACGGGGAGCTGCACATCAGTGAGATGGAAACCAGGATCAGAGATATGTCCAGAGAGACAACGGAGACCAGGAGGACAAACCACAGGCTCCCACACTTGGCCATGAATTGGAGAAGCTGTTTGGGCCAGATACAGCACTTCCCTCCATCGCTCCTGATGGATGTTTAGAAACCTGGCTCGAAAAGTGCCTAATGACATAATCTGCAAATCCAAACATCATCCCTGGCTCGGAGGACACCGGGCCAGGGGAAGGCCCCACGTGATGGAGCAGAATTGAGGGAGCTGCAGCCCTTCAAAGGCTCTGCTCAGATTGATCTCTCTAATACCCCCCCAGTGCAGGCTGCAGGCATAAGCTCAGCATTATGTGCCCAGATTAGTGAAACACCACATTGTGTCACGTATATGTTGCAGTGAAGCTCCCGTGTAGGAGCCACTCAAGGATCTAATATGACATGAAGCTCCAACACACCTCTTGTACTAAAGTTTCCCTTAGGTATTTTGCCCAGCCAATGCCAGAGGTAAAATATATCTGCATTCCTTTCCAGATTCTCCCAGCAGGCTCCCATTAGAAGACATCGGATCTCTTTGTAGGAACTTTCCATGATTAAATTACCTGTCTGTTTTCATTACCAGTGTTTCCATGAGGCTGACTCATGATGAAAAGCCTGATGTCAGAAAAACAGCTGAATAAGCCCATGCATGAAGGGACTGATTCCCCATCCTGGATCCCACACCAAGGCCACCCATTAACTCCTCAAGAGCTGCAGCTTCTCCCCATGTACACGGGTGCCTGGTGGGTCCCAAAGCTCTTTGGATTCCCAGGGTCAGGAGCACAACATCCTGGCTGAACTTGCTGATTTTTTGTTTGTAATGGCAACAAAGGGAAAAGCCCAGACAACCCCGGAGCCTTAGGACTGCTCCTTTCATGTCAGGCTTTCTAACCCTTCAGGGTGAGGAAATACTATCCAGTAACGTGGCATTTGTGTAAAATGGATGTTTTGAGAACTGTATCTGCTCTGGGGATGTGCACTGGAGCGTCACTGCCTGAGAAAAAAACCCGAAAACAAGGAGCAACCTTTGCTGCCAAGATGCATCTTTGCAGAATTGCCACTTTCTTTGACATTTACACCTGCACATCTCAGCTCTTGGGCAGTTCCCACAAAGCTCTAGGATGGATTTCCTCCTTCAGGACTGGAAATTTAGCAGGAAGACTGTTCCTGGCAGCAGGTTTCTGAATCAGGCTGGAGCACAGTTTAGTTTAAACAGCCTTTCCCTACCTCTTTCTGTCTGTGGTTTTGTGGAGTCTTTCCTACCTAGACCTGGCCATAAAGAAAGCTTCCACAAGCAGGAGACTCAGCAGTGCCAGAGCTCCCAAAGACAGGACAAGACAAACAAAAACCAGCCCAGATTTCCTCTGTGCCTCATCCAAATAATCTTTGCAAAAAGGATTTACTTTTGCTAATCCAGTTTAATTTGAACTGGGCTGTTCTACATTCACACCAGACCAAAAAGGAGGTGAGATGCACATCTCAGGATCATTTTACAGGGCTACCAACACTGGCTGCTGATGGTTCTACATCCTCTGACACCCACAGCAACCTCTAGGAGGGGAGAATCCAGAACAGAAATTGCAAATCATCACACAGAAAGTTTCCAACAGCCCTTCAGACCTTCTATGAAATTATTCTGGGAGTAAAGCGCTCCCTCAGAGCACTGTTAACATCCAGATTGGACCCATTTCCAGCTGTTAATAAACCTTGGGAAGCCAAGGGGTTTGCTGAGGATTGCACACCCAGCCCACAGATGTGCAGGAGCCTTGACAGGACCCCTCACCACATCTCCAGCCACGGGAGGGAAAGCCCAGCCCTGAAGAACTTCCCGTGCATGCACCTCCCACAGGCAGGAACCCCAGGGCTATGACTTGGCTCCCTGCTCTCCATGTGGGAATTCTCCCCCTTGAAACTAAAGTGAAATAGTGATGCCATTAGGTATCTTCCCTTTAAATCATAGATGTGTCTGTGAGGAAGTTAATGACAAACCTTACATGCACATTCAATTCAGATCAGCATATCCAATTAACTCCACTACCTGGAGGCTCCCTCATATCCCAGTCTCTCTCTCTCCTGTCACAATTTCTTTATGCATTTCTCCCAAATTAGGAT